TACTGATGCACTTTTCGATTCTCGAAGAAGGTGTTCATAATGGACAATCCGTTGTTTGCACAAAACCGCAGCAACTTTATGCCGTTATTGTTGAGGTCGCTAGGGCCGTTTTTCTCAATCACGCCGTTCCACTTTTCGACGTCTGCTCTTATATGCGCATTAAAATCGCCCATGAGTATGAGGGACTCTGTATTCGGTACTTCGGACAGAGCACACTGCACTTCCTCAAGGAAGGTCTCATATTCTCCCTCAAAATTGGGCGCTTAGACCTGTGTGAAAGTAGAAGGTTTAGCTTATTGTTGCTTCAGTGGGAGAATTGCCGCTCTTCCGCTGACGAGCTTCCATTCAATGATTCTGTCATGACGGTAGCGCGGATGGTAGATTCGACATGCGACTTATACAGGTTCGACCTGCAGTGGTTCAGAATTCCAAATTTATGGTAGTAAAAGCACAACTTTGCACAGCATCTGGTTCTGATTGCCCTAGGAGTGAATAAATTCCATTATAACTGGGTTGTGCACCGTGTGACCGGTAATGACCTCTAAACCAACGTCGGTGTGACAATCGGCTAGGTTCAAACCCATAAAGTGCATGTTGTGGTTTTCGCCAGCGGACGTGATTGTCGTTATGTAGTCGTAAATTAAGCGATGGCAAAAGTGTAACTGTCGACTGCACACGCAAAGATGTTACAACAGTGGAACGCGCTAAAAATTACTGTTAAAACTGGTGTTGGTTACTTCCTTTTTCTATTTTTTCTGTAAACCAATTTCTCACGTAACTTTTTCTTCTTTTCAAGTTGCCCATGTTGCTGTTTTATCTCGAACCGCTTGTTCCATTCATGAATTCGTGTGGTAGGAACGATCCTGGGCGAGCAGATCTTTGCATAGCTGATCCGTCCTGATCAGAGGTTCAAACATATTTTGACGTACCGTGTCTTTCGATGGCAGAGGTTTAGTTTCGAGAATAAGAAACGGTCACATCCAGAGTCTCATGCAGGAACCTAAGAAGCTTACGCACATCCATCCATATATTCTTTACTGCTGTCGCAAGGTTTTTCGCCGCATTCGTTGAGCCCTAGAAATAAAGAGATGTGCTCCTGGATGAAGTCTTACAGTGGTATGCTCAAATAGTTTGACATCTGGACTTTCAACTCCTTCGCTGCAACTGACGCCATTTTTCGGGTGCTAGATCGCAGCAGATGAATTGCTGGGCTAACCGAATGATGGCATAGTCATTGTGAGCCACGAAGATACCTACATCCCCATAGAGTTAGTGACTTGACGCCAGGGACGGGGCACTTAGACATCGCCTGACTAGCTTCCTAATGGAATTGTCATACTGGTCCGATGTGCCCGATCTTTAGTATTTTCCCATTGCATGTTCCTGAGTGCATATGTGAGCTTGGAGTGGGTAAATGTATATGCGCTCAGCTTCTGCCATTCAACGAACTTGCTACTAATTATCTGCTGTGTTTGTAGTAATAACGAATGACTCCTCCGAAACCGGATTTCATTGCGTATGGCACCGCCCCCATGCAGGCTACGACAGTGATATTAGAACTCCTTCAGTGTCGGATGCATCCCACATCATTTTGCTAAAACGGCCTATCGTTCATCATGAATGATGTTTCAGGAGCTGGTACGGCTTAATTTAATCTTGTAGGGGTGATTCGTTATTTGACATACTCGGGCGTACGCACTGTTTATGGTGCGTATAATTTTTAGCTAAGGTATGTCTGCGTTCAAATGGTGTAACCGTAATTTTCTACCAAGGTTGGGAGCAACTTCAGATTTGCTTAGGCTATGAATATTAAAGATAATAATTTAACACGAAGAATCATAATTTATTTTAATTTAAGACGTACTTCACGTTTTACAATTCAAGGTCAGGTCAAGGCTGCTCGCTGCCTTGTTGAATTTGTCAACGATCCCCTGGATGCTGATGACACCCTTGATAGAGCAAGTAATGAGGTAAGTATATAAAGATGTACTTTCTCACCTGCAATGTCATATTTAGATGTATTTTCCAGCAACCGACAGATTTCAGTTTACAGAAGAACTGAATCGGATGAGAATGCAGGCAACTGCAATGGAAGGAATGCACAAACTCGGAGCAAGCTTCGTTACCACTGGAAATTATGGCTTCTATTGAACAAGAAATGCAAAAGAAAGCGCTGCTTACCGAGGTAGTGTTGCAATGGCAGTCAGCGGAAACACAGAAGGAGCCGTAGTGTACTGAAGCGTGATATCTGACGCGAGGTTCAAATCCAGATGCAAAGGGCTTGGCTTCACCGATCAGTTCTTTTGTAAACAGTGTAATTTTTCCAAGTCTATTTAGCGTTTGCAAATTCCAGGTGGCAAATTCTGTCCGGTATTTATCGCTGAAAGGTTATTTTTCCGTTCTGAGGTGTTCCGAGATCCATGCTCATAGGTGGTGACATTTCCGGGTGCGTTACTAGTAAAATCCGATCCATATGATAGATTTTTTACGGTTTCTGTCATCAGAGATACATCCGTTGAGTGGGTGATTGCCTCGTTAATCGTCTGTTTCAGGGTTTATTACAGGCCTTCATGAAAACGGTAGAGGCTAGGAAGGATAGGTATTCCCTTATGTTATATCTTGCCCGGCCATCAGGAATCCGACGGGAGGTCGGAACTTACGGAAGACCTACTTTATCGACCTATATCTCTCTGAATCCTCTTTTGCTGTCTTCCATCAAGTTTCATGTTTCATTTCTTTATGAACACTGCGAACCTTCTGTCAAATATTTGTATTTCGAAGAATTTTGATTTTACTGTTTAATTCTGTGCAGCTGTGTGAAGCCGTCTAACCAATACAGTGCTGTCGTAACATGCTTCGAACGACTTTCTTGCGGTCTTCAGCCACCGGTCAAGTTGAAGAAATTCTGTGAGGCGGAAAGAAATGACATGACAAAAAAATGACATCTATTACGCACGACAATCATAATACAGATATTATTTATTTACATGGTTTAGCGTACAAGTGTAATGTAAGAAATGGTTCTGTGATGTAATCTTTTGTACATTAAAGTCCTTTGCATGAAAAGAAAATTTATTTTTACTTTTGTTCATGACTGTTAAATTTCAACTTTACATTTACCGTTTCTAGTTGTAGAATACAATAACTGAAGCGTAGCAGAAGAACGACTAGGCGACATGTCGGCTTATTTTCGTATAAAAATAGCGTACTGAAATCTGAAATTTTGGCAAAAAACATCGGATTGTGCTTGCAGAAAGTTATCGATCGATTCATAAGGCGAGGAATCAAATCAAGCAATTGTTACAGATGATTATGATTTCCTCAGATGTCAGATGACCTCTCACAGTCATCAGAGTGGAATTGTAAACGGAAATTCACAAGTTTGTCAACGGCAAAATAGTGCAATCATAGAGAGCTTCTCACCGACATATAAATGATGGGCTAAGGGAAATAGTTATCCGTTTAACGATTTCCTTTAGGTTGTTTATTGCGGTACGAGGAAGCATAACGGGTCGACATGGAATGCGAAATTCTTTCCGTAGTAGACAAGCAAAACTCAGAGGCCGATGAAGGCAATAATCGGCGGTAAACAGTCAAGACAAGGAGATGAGCAATGTCACTCGAAGATGATGCCAAGAATTTCAACAACATCATGAGGTAGAAGGAATCTTCCCAGATTTTGGTGAACTTGTAATTCACCTGCTCAGACTAGTGTGGATCGTCGCTAAAGTGGACCCCCAGGTACGTAGCAGTGCGAGCGTGCGAGCGCTTTGGATCAGTTCGTTCTCAATAGCTGTTCTTTCTTCGGCTGCTGACAACAAATATCTTGACTCGATGCCTTTTATGACATAGGTCATTTAAAAGATTGTGCTGATCTTCCGACTATTTATCTCGAATCACCGCACAACTTACGTCGTAACGTCTTGTTGTTTGAAGGAATCTGCGACGTCCCCGACATCTGAAACTACTGCCATTTTATCAGTGCATTCAACAGAAATTGCAGGGCTGATGGATTTAATGGGATTCGCCGACAAGCTAAACAACAATGGTTGTAGCGGAGGTTATTACGCCTTTTGGAAAAGCACTACTTTCCTGCAATGGTTAGCTGCTGCCTATGAAAATTGCAACCATGTAGAGGAGCAAAACGTTGATAACTCCGGTATCTTTTTGGCGTCGCAGCAGAACAGCACATTGCACGATATTAAACGACGATAATCAGTCAATAAAGATTGCCTTTCTTGCAGATCCTCCACAATCTAATGCAGGTGCAAGGAAGTTTGTACAAACAATTCTAACACTGTCAACTGACATCAAAC